AGAGCTGGCTCTGAGGGAGTTGGATCAGTGTCAAGGACTCACCACATGTAAATAAAAGGTAACTTGGTGATGGATGCTGGCCTCTGAGGAGTTATTTCAATAACCCGCACAGTGTGGCCACCTTCCCGTAGTGTTCGGTCGAGAATGGTTACATCATCTGGTATGTCAGTGGACGACATCATTTCGCCTGTACTATGTCACAGCAAACTCTGCATCTGCAGTAAGCAATGGGGTATGTCTGAAAGTCTTTAGGGAGCGGACCGCATTCCACTCCATATGAGCACCTGTCTGGGGGTTCCAGAGCAGTTAGTCAAGGGCAGCCTCCCATACCAGTCCCTGGCATCAGGATGGCTTTATACAAGGTTCTGTGCCTTTGTCCTTCAGGGAATGGGTCATGGTTAGTCTTTAGTCTCCACAGGGGCTAGACCATTAGGAATGGGTCTGCCATGATCGGGGACAATAGTCAGGGATCTGTCTAGCGGTTGCCTAGAACTGACTAGTCAAGTTACCCAAAGGGATGTGCCACAGTTATCACAGATGTGGGGGTTTGGTTGTAGAAGCTGAACAATTACTCAGCTTCGGTGATGTGCTGGTGAAATATGAAGCCTGTGCGATTGGCAGAATGGGCACCGAGGGGAGGGATGGGTGCTGTTGGGCATCTCAGTGACACATTTACACTAAGGCTGAAAGCTAGCGGCAAAGGACTGCTTGTTGTTACTTCAGTCATAAAGCACATGGACATTGTGCAATGTCCAGCAGGATGGTTGTAAATACGCTCGGTGAGAAGAGGTTGCATCTACAACTGGTCACTGGGCGTTCACAGGAGAAGAACATTGGTGTCATGCGCATGTGCTGTTACAGCATTGGCATGCAAGTGTCTACACCCTGCCATTGTGCAGCACTGACCCTCATGTGGTGCACCTTCCTGACACTATCACTGCTGGAGAACTGCTTGAGATAAACGCTCCTGCCCAAGTAGCCAGCCAAGCAGTGGGAAGTGTTGAAGGACAGGAGGCCTAACGTATCAGAGTCAATTACATTTGCATGTATTTGTAACCCACTCCCACATAATAACATTGTTGGTCATGGTATACAAAACCCGCCCCCTCGCACTCCACACCACCACCACTACCATCTATCCTTATGGACCAGGGACTGATGCCATGGGGCACAACAAAGCATCGAGGCCCTGCACAGACATGGGCAACCACACTAACAGTGAAAATGATGACCAAACATTTGGTCAATCAAAGTACGTTTTGAAAATCTAAAAACAGGAAATTGAAGTGGGGAGGGTTAGTGACTTGAATGCATAGCCCTCAGTGGTACACCAATTAAAATTAGGACTATGCAAGGAGCCAGAATTGGAAAGGTACAGATATCTCTAAAAGTTATGGGCTGCAGGAAATTACAGGGATAGAGTGGGAGTAAAGCCATGGAGGGAATTGAAAACAAGGATGAAAATTTAAAAATCAAGGCATTTCTTCCTGGAAGTTATTGTAGGTCAGTAAGCAAGAATGATGAGTGAATGAGGTGATAGAAAATTGGCAGCAGAGTTTTGGTAAGAGCTAAACTTTATGGATGACGGGAGCTTAGTCAGGAGTGTGTTGGAGATAACAAAGGAATGGATGAGGATTTCAGAAACAGTTGACTTGATTCAGGAGCAGAACAGAGTGATGTAATGGAGATGGAAATAGGCAGTGTTAGTGCTATGTGGCATGTATGTGTGTTGCAGAGTTCACTGCTGTCAAATGCAGCAGCAAGGCTGTCAACAGTCCAGTCTAGACTCCCATACGCCACGCAACAAAATGCAGGATTATCAGATCAAAAGTAAGTTCACCATTGGATAACCAAGCTTTGATATAATTAGGCTACATAAACCCATCTCTAGAAAATATAACTGTTCATTACCAAGTATATTTCCAGTGAAGTATAAGAAAGGGAATATAATCCAACACATTAAACAATGAATTCCTGTTTTGTCTGAAAGATAAAAATTCTTAACACCTTTTTAAAAACAGCATTTATACAGTATAAGAACAGAGTCTTGATTTGTTGACAAGTGGACTTTGATTGCTAGAGGTGCTGATGTGAATATTGCACCAGTGATGGATGACTGACAGTTAACTGCCAAGTTTTGTTTAAATTTTAAACAGCAGGTTGATTCTGGTCAAGCCATTGCCCTGAGAAATTAACCAGAAAATTATTATTACCTGTTCTGTTGCATTGAAATAGGCGGTGTGTGTGACAATTTTCTTTGAAAAAGGGCCCTTAATATTAGTTTATGTAGCTTTGAGCACACATAAGTTTGCCATACTGTCAGCCTGACTCTAAATTGGTTATCAGCGTAATTCTTCATACAGTCAGGATTGTACAGTAGATGCTGTGGTGTCACATCGATGTTGGACACTGTTTTGAGTTTTGCAAGGGTAGCTGGTTATCCACTGTCAGCACCTTGCTTATTGTGAATTGCTGAAGGGATACACTCTTTGATAAGATCCACTCATCTTTGGGACAGACAGCTAGATATCTATCATCACACCAGCACTGAAATTCATATATTATTCATTTGTATGATAGACAGAAGTTCTTGTTGGCTTACAGCAGCATTCTGTTTATAGTGATCACTATTCAAGTTGTTACTGCATTGTAGCAGAGTGAAGCAGGTCGGTTCAACTGTTGATCAAACCTTTAAGATATTTTACTTTTCCAGGGTAATCTTACATAGATTGTGCACTTTTCAGGACCAAAAGTGACAGCTTTAATGTTACTCATGATTTTGCACGATGTACAATGAGAAGTTAGCAGATCAGTTTCGCCATTGTTCTGCAGCAAAACTCAAGTTTTGTACTACTGGACAACTCTCCTATTCCTTTATTCCACAGGGCATTGTAATTCAAAACAATAGCTTGAGAATTCACTATCTATTCTTGCATTCTTCATTGCAGCATGTTTCAGAAGCTTGTTGTCACCTTCTGTTGATTCATTTCAAATCTCTGTAATGTTGAGAGAGCTTGTCACAAAATGTCAAACTTCCGTGCTGTGTAGATTTGATAATCTTTGTGTTATAAGCGCATTGAGTGTAAAAAAGATTTGGAATGCCTGGGAACATTCCATGGAATGAGTATCACTGACATAAAGCCAACAGCTGCAATGTTATGGCTCTGCATGAGACCCCCAAATTCACAATTCATGCATATCCATATTATTTCCCAAGGAAAGTTTTATAATTTAGGTACGATCATTTGTGGGAACACAGGAACATAAGTAGGCTATTCGGCCTCTTCAGAGTGTTGCTCCATTAGATTAGATCTGGGTAATCTATTTCTCAACTCTATTAACATGTCTTGGATCCATTCCCCTCATCGCTGTCATACAATAAAAATCTATTGATATCTGTCTTGAACATTTTGATTGACCCAACATCAACTGTGTTTGGGACAGCGAATTCAGATTCTGACGACACTTTGCATGAAAATGTGCCAATCTGATTTTACTCCTGAATGCTCCATCTCTAATTTTAAGATTAAATCACCTTCTGGATGTTCCTCACTGGAGGAAGCAACTTATCTGTATCGATGATTTTATAATTTTAAACACCTCAACTAATTCCCCCTTAAACTTTCTATAAGACAAGTTTATTCACCTGTCGACATAACTTAGCCTTATAAACCCTGATATTCTGGTAAATCTGTATTATATCTTAAGTAGCAATGCCCAAAACTGAGTGAGATTCTTCTGATAAAACAGATTAATAATTGGCTACACACCTATAGGCAGAATTTGCAATGGATCTGCTTGTAGACTAATTTTCAGTACTATATCACAGTAATCAGCATTAAAGCATTTTATCTGTTGCTGCATATATCAATGACCAATATGTTGGGAGAATGTCTGCGAGTTTTCAGATTGTATAAATATTTATGCAAATGTTATAATTGTGGAAGAAAGTAAGTTATTGCAAAATGATCCTGACACGTTGGGAGAATGGCCTATATTTGGCTAATGAAAGGATAATTTGAGTTATTGCGGTGAGGGTTCAGACAGAGTGGGAGAGATTTGAGGGTTAGGGGTGTGAAGAATGTGGTTAGTGGGATTGGGGGTGTGAGGAGGTGTTTGGATAGGAGTTTGAGCTGTCGATAATAATTGTTGGGATTCAATGTCTGGTAGGAAGAACGTGAATGGGAGGATTAGTTCTGTGGAGTGTTGTCAGAAGTTGAAGGTGTGATGTGTTGGGGCAAATAAAGAAGTTGAGTGGTGGTTTCTGAAAGGAGGTTATTGTTTTGGGGTTATTGTCAAGTAGGATGGAGGTGAATGAGAGGGTTGAATGTAGTATCATGGTGAGTAGATGATATAGTGGGGTTGATTGGAGGAGTGAGGTTGGGAATGATTTGTTGGTGTGAATGTGGAGAAGTGAGGATGTGGGGGTGACTGTGACAGATGAACAGGATCTCGGTTGTGCATATGTGATGTGAGTAGGGATGAATGGGATGTGTAAGTAATCTGGGGTCAGTGGGAGTGCAGGAGATTGGTGGAAGTGAATGCGGGTTGTCGGTGAATGAGGGTTGGCGGGTAAATAGTGGTGTAGCTTGGGGATAATGAGTGGATAAGTGGAAGATATGGTATAGCAGAATGGATGTAGGCTGATGGAGATGAATGAGAATTCTGGTGAATGATAGTGTAGGTTAGTGGGGGTTAATGAGGCGTGTAAAAGTAAAAATGTAAAGTCACCGTAGTCTTACCAGACCATGGGACGACTGACAGTGATTTAATTAGCCTCAGAGGTTGAGAAGGGAGTTCTTCTTGTTAATCTCAGCTGTGTGAGAATTGAACCCGTTCTGTTGGCGTCACTCTAATTTGGAAGTTAGCTATCCAGCTAACTGACCTAGGATGAAGTGAAAGGGAGTTTTGCCCACATGTCTGCAGTCTGGGAGGAATCCAGGATATATAGGGTTAAAGCGGCGACCCCGCCCCCCGCCCCGCACCTTCGGCCCTTTCCGCCGCTGACGGAAATGACCGAAGGCGTTCGGCTCTGGCTCGAGCGCAGCCGCACCGGCTCCTCTTTGCGGAGATTCACCGCCTCGGAACCTGAGGGAGAAATAATCGGGTGTTTTTTTTCTCTCTCTCCACCCCTTCCTCTTCCCCCCCCTCCTCCGATTATTTTTAAACAAGTGAAAGTTGTTGTGCTGAGGGATATTTGCAGGAATCTCTCCCGATGCAGGCCATCAAGTGTGTGGTTGTTGGGGACGGGTAAGTCCGTTCGTCTCCGTGACCTGAGAGAGAGGGGGGAAAATTACAAAAGAAAACGAACATAGCTGCAAGCCCCTGGGCTGTGTCTGGGAAGCATAAAGAAAAATCATTGTGTTTATTTAAAATTAACTCACGTTGTTGCAGCGCTTCTATTTTTTTATTGCATTTAGGGTTCATTTTGGCATCCATTACATTAAATAGGCGACGCTTTGATTTTTTTTTGTATGCATCCCATTTCGATGCAGTTTTCTTTTTAAAAAAAATGAAATAGGTCTCTTTCTCCCAGCCCTAGCATTGAGTTTCCGAGATTGCTCCCTGGTTATGTTGGTGGAGGAACAATCGAGACACTTGCCCCAGCCCCAGCCAGGCGTGTAGCATTCATTTTCATAGCGACAATTCATGGTTTCTTCCTAACCTCCTCGCAGACCTGAGCATTTCTCTTAAATGGCTCACAGTTTATTCCTCTTTCCACACCACTGGTGTGAAAGGTGGTTGGAACCCTCCGTAATTTGTGAGAGCTGGTATCAAAAATGAAGGGATGACCTGGAAGGGAGTGTGTGAAAGAGATTAGCACAAAGTTTTTTTTTAATGTACGAAGTGTGGAAGAGATGAGCACAAACGACAACTGAAATGTACATAAATGAATGTGTATTTGGTGGGTAATGGCTGGTATCTATTTGTGATATGGTTCACACAGCCCTTCCATGGAGTAAATAACTAGCTAGAGTTGTGCTGCAAGATGGCTGGCGAGATGGACAGTGGCTCAACACTGGGTATGCACTCTTGAAAAACTGGCTTCTCTGGACTAGAGGATGGTTCTAATCGAGTTGCTGGTTTTGGTTTTGATAGCTGTGTCTGTGGAATCTGGTTGTGTGTTCTGAGAAATTGTGAATATGTGCAGTACATATGCAGAGCCTTGATGCATACTGCTGTCTAATAACACTGACAGTTGGAGTGGTCGTTGTACTTTAAGCACAGAACATATATGTGATAAGATGGTAGCTCAAGTGGTGATGAACTGTATATAACCTGGGTGTATACTCAAACTATACGTGTAACGTTGTCAGATTTTTATTTAGGCTGAAGATTTGCTTATAGTGCTCGTTTGTGAAGTATTGGATTCCTTTTTCAATACTCTGCTCAAAGATTTAAAATTCTGTATATATATTTTTGGATTTGTTGTGTCATTTAATTTTCCCTCCCTTGAACTATTCATTTCATGGGTTGGATAACTGCCATACAGATCTCATCAACTCACCAAGCCATTAAGTGGAACAGTTCATGTGTAAAGAAGGGAACAAGGATTAAAACTGAAAGAGCTGTGGATGCTGTAAATCAGGAACAGAAACAGAAGTTGCTGGAGAAGTTCAGCAGGTCTGGCAGCATCTGTGAAGAAAACATCAGAGTTAATGCTTTGGGTCTGGTGACCCTTCCTCAAGAAGCTGGGAAAATGTTGGTTTATATGCAGAAAATAGGGAGGGGGGATGTTGTTCTTGAACATGCCTTCATACACCTCAAAATAGTTAGTGTACAGTTAAGTTACTTTATGTCAGCTTTTGATATATAGGCTGATGTGGAAGTCATTTTGTGCAAAAGTTAACATCAGCACTGGGAAAAGTTGTCAGGTAAATTTTTGTTGTTGAGCAGAGAAGCTGCTTGCTTCTCTCTACATCCATCTGAAACACCATAACAAGGACAGTGTGTTACCAATGAAACCAGAAGTAAAAACCTACCTAAGAATTGGGGGATGAGAGATTAATGTCAAAGAGAAGGATGACATAACCGATGATTGTGAATGACATGTCTCCCTAATTCCCCTCTCCAATGCTTTCCAGTGATTATGCCTTTGCAAGCTGATGTAGAATTTTGGCAGTGAAATTGAGGATGTAATTACAGGCATTGAACTTTTGCAGCTGGAGGTCTGTGCTATAGTGAAGGCTTTTTGTAAACCAAAAGCTATTAAAATTTTAAATGAGAGATGTTGGGTTAGATTTTTGCTTTAAAAGAGTATGTCTAAATTGTGAGTGATATTTTGTGCTGAAGAAAATTAGTCATTTTCTTAACTTGTTGTCTGCGTATTTTTGGAAGGGAAGGGAAAAAATCAATAGCGATGGCTTCAGTGGGGCTAAGAAATCTCTCCACTTTGAGCTCTAATTTACCAGGTTCATGATGTACAACATCTAGGATTTTGGACACTATACAGTAGTCAATATTCCTAGCTCTAAAGATCAGTATTAAAATTATGAGTTGGGGATCACTCATTTACATCTGGAAATCTGCATCACTGTTGATTTAATGATGACACAGTGTGGAGCTGGAGGAACACAGCAGGCCAGGCAGCATCAGAGGAGCAGCAAAGTTGACGTTTCGGTTTGGGACCCTTCTTCAGAAATGGGGAGAGGGAAGGGAGCCCAGGAATAACTAGAGAGAGGAGGGGTGGGGCTGGGGAAGGTAGGTGAGATGGTAATAGGTGAGTGCAGAAAGGGAGTGGTGGGGATTGGTCAGTGAGGTGGGAGGGGTGGAAAGGTGGGAGAGAAGATAGACAGGTTGTCGGGTCAAGGAGGCAGGGGTGAGAGGGAGGGTTGAACATGCAATGAGGCCGGGATGGGGAGACTTTAAAACTGTGTGCATTGTGATAACAATAAAGAAGTTGCCAGCAAAAACTAAGGTGGTAAGGGTAACGCTAGCAGAGGACAGACTGCATCGGTCATGGTTTTATCAATCACACCAAGTTACTGTGCTGGTTAGTAATTCTACTTAAGCCATTCATGGTAATATTGTAAAAATGTCATCAGATGTATTTTGTTTCCGTTTTCTCTCATGAGACATGGGTTTTTCTGGCTGGTCAGCATTTATCGCCCATCCCTAGTTGCTCTTGGGAAGGTGATGCTGAGTTGCCTTCTTAAACTGCTGCAGTCCATTTGCTGTAGGTATGACAATACCCTTCATTTGGAAAATAGTTTTTTTTTTTGGCAGGGACAACAGGAATTTTTGACCAAACTCTGATCTTAGTGGCTTTGTTTTTCTGACGGCAAGGACTCGTGGTAGAGGCAGGAGAGTCATCTGGATGTTTCCTTCTCTTTTGGCTGTTTCTTTTATTTCTGCTTCTGCTTTTAATCCTTTCTTTGGTATACTGAGATGGTGCCAGAGAATGACAATTTTGTATATTTTTCACTGTATTCCTGTACTCGAGTATATGTGACAATAAAATCTAAAGCTAAATTTAACATGTCATGAACTGCTGGGATAGAATGCATCCTTCAAATATTTATTTCTGCAGTCACTGGAAAGAATCACAGTTGATGATCGCAGTTCCCACCCTTTGCTTTAGTTAATGGTTGCAGGGTTCTGGATAAGGGCTGTCTCCTGATTCTTGTCATTCCAGTTAGTCAAAAATTGAACTTTCATCTTATTCAATTCACTGCTCAGTGAACCATTTGAGATTTGTCATCATTGCATGTTATAGGTCTTCTCCCTATCAGTTCTCTTCTGAGTGGAATTTTATTTTTGCATTCTTCTTCCATGAATGACTTTTTAAACTTATGTTCTTATCTTAAGTTCTTACTTTCTTCACTACATATATTCTTGTTCAACTTGCAACCATTGCTTGCCTGTTTTAAGAGAGCTGCACTTTTACTATATTTCCTTATAAGCCAGGAGAGGGGAATGGGTGCAGTCAAACTAGCTAGTGTTCACGTGGCCATGTCTGAGGCAAGTATGCTAGGGGAACTGCTCCAGTCATAATTGTGAAATGTTTTTACATGTACACCTTTGTGTTATCACTGCTTCATCATTTTACCATATGTTGGTGCATAGATCCATGTTTTATTGAATGTATTTGGAGAATAATTGATTCATTTTCAAAGTCTGGTGACTGCTACTTTATTTATTTAGGTAAATACTTCAACAGTTCAGCAGCCAAGCTCAGCAAGTTGAGGGGATAGTTAATCTGTGTTTTTAGTTTGTTTTGTTTGAAGTATGAATGTTGACTACAATATACGGAAAATACCCTGATCTTTAACATCCACCTGAACTACATTGGCATGTTTGTGTATTTATGATTAATCTCTGTGGGGCTGGCATTAGTGATTTGTAAAACCTACTATTTTATACAAGCATGTGAAGGGAAGGTGGGGCTGTCTTATTGGAAACCAGCTCAACAAGTGCAAATCATATAATTATTTTTGAGATCTTCATTTTTTGGCTAAATGATACCTTTTAGTTAATAACAATGTTAATGTTTAATTTGAGTTGGAAGGAAAAGATTGTCATTGTCAGTATTGTGGTATTCATCTCGGGGTAGTAGTAAGGATTCTATTGCTGGCCTCAGCATTCCCAGTTAGGGAGAGGGAAAATCAACTAAGATTTGCACTCTAATCGTTTACCAGTGACTCGGTGCGTAGTTGTCAGTAGAAAAAAGATTGAACTCCATATTGCTATCCAATCTCATTGACTGTCCTGCCAACACTGTATCTAGGTTTGAGTGAGGAAGGATCACTGCCTGAAGTGCTGGAGGCTACAAGTACCTTTTAAGATAATTTATGGTTTTATGCCTAAATACTAGCTCTCATTTACTATAATTGCTTTGTCAGAAGAAAAATATTCAGTGTGCTTTCTCATCTATTTTCTCTTTTGAAGAAGTGATTTTTGGGGGAAGGGTGTGGAGTCATGGTATGTGAGCTACAAAGGTGACAAATTGGGTGTCCGAGTCAAGCTTTGTTACCAACTGCTGCATTCGGCTGGGCTTTTTTGCCGGTGAATTACGTTTTGCATTTCTGTGTTTGCGTATGTTTCTTCCCTGTTAATCATTACATCATCACGAACCAATGAGGAGGGTCTTGAGAGAAGTGTGAAATAGTGAGCTCTGCTTGGAATGTGCTATCTCAACTGACATGATGCAGTTTTCTGACAAAGAATTAGGGTTCTGGTTACTTAGCAACATTAATTGTTTGGTTTGCACCTTGAGAGCTTGTAGGGGGTTTAATTCCAATATAATGGAC